TGCAGCTGAACCACGTCGCAGAACCTCAGGGGCCTGCTTATTGCACTCTTTTTCCTCAGTCCACACAGCGTTCCTAGAATTGTACACGCCTTTAGCGTCAACGCAGCAGGCAACGACGTATATGTCTACACTTTATCCTCCATCTAACTCGACAGTGCTGAATAATGGCTGGACGCCGACGCGCCTAAGTGCAACTGGAACGGCGCCGATGTATAATTCAATTCGGAGAAAATCCCCTGGCTGCACCGCGAGGCAGAAGACGCCAGCCCTGAGCTTCGCTTTGAAGTACAGCACTCTTCTCAGTGCTGCACATGTCGAGAGCAGTCCAAACTGGGGAGTGTTTCGTGCTGTTTTCTGGAATTGACTGTTCAGGCTCAAAAGCGCCAGAGTCTGTTAAAGACTGGACGAATACGCAATTGTGGAAGCACACGTCGCGTGTGCCAGTCGACGCAATTCTGATTGGAGATTGTTGACTTGCTCTTGCAGAGTAAATAATGTTTCCAGTGCTTTGCATTGGCGATTGAGTGACTTCTCGCGGTCGACGGCGATTTTTCCTTATTCTTCGCAACCGCTCACATAGATNGGGTTTCAGAAGACTCCTTTAATGTTTAAATTCATTGCAGTATCCGCTACTGCATGTGAGCAGCTGAACAGCACTGCCTGTATCCAGGCAGAAGAAAGCCAGGAGCAGCAGCCATAATTTTGGTAATGCGGCTCGCGCCCAATCCAAATTATTGAAAGTGCCGAGCGAAGCTGGAAAGGAAGGAACATGTAAGAAGCAGCAGCGCTACGGTTCAGGGGGAAACCTAATTTTCATGTAACCCGCGTAAATATCGGAGGCAACGAAAAGCAAACCCATTCACGCACGGGTCCGATGTCGACGAGTACCTCACAAGTTCACTTAGACCGCCTGCATGCCTCTGTCGTCATCATCTCTATCACTACAAAGGCATCTGCCAATGCTTTGTATGCACTTTAGTACACTTGCAGCTTCCGCCTGCTGCCAGCAGGCGTGTCTCTATTTGCCTGCGGAGCAGTACCCCGTGTGTTTGAATGCTCACACGGCATCTATGCGTGTTACTATTTGCGTACTAATTGCATGACCTGAAGAGGCTTAAAATTTGATTGACACGCCTTGAACAAAACAGATTGGGTTACATCCTGAACGCGTAGGCCTGCAGTCTTCGACACAAGGTGTGTCGGCACTTGGGCAGAACAGTGGCACAAGCGCTGGTCCTGAAGTTTTGAAACCAGAGGCGCCCATGCCCGCACAGATAACTGTGGGTCCGCACGAGCTTATTAGTGAACNGAAGTTTTGAAACCAGAGGCGCCCATGCCCGCACAGATAACTGTGGGTCCGCACGAGCTTATTAGTGAACAGCCAACGATATGTCAACTGCCCTTGTTATGCAAACATGTGCGCATAGGTGCAATGAGGAGTGAGCGCTAGCAGATCGTTAACGCGTCCAACTATCATCCCTTCACGAAGGAGACCAGGAAGCCTTGGAAGATGCAGCCCATCTCTTTCGAAGTTGTGCTGGTGGATTTCATGCAGCTGGCACATTTGTTCCTCTTCCTTTGCGGCGATCAGCAACCCAATAAAGCGAAGACGGCTCAGGCCATCCACGGCTGGTGTGTAGAAGGTTTTCGAACAGCTTTTGCATACCAGCGGTGGAGGGCCTGAAACAACATTGTCAGACGCGGAGGCTGAAAGTTCAGCTTCTAGGGCTTCGTACTGGCGTTGAAGTATCCCTCCGTGGTCAATGGCCATTTTTTCTCTTGCTTCGAAGTCGTCCAAACTGACTAGCACTTTGCGGAGTGTATCTGCAGGGTCTTCCTCGTGTGTGTCGAGATCGGCGTCAGTCTCCCCATCGACGATGTGATCGAGATTCATTTTGCTGACTGCTTCTACCGTTCCACCGTGCTCTTTGTTCGAGCGCTCTGCGTAGAGAGCATGGAAGAAGGCACGAAGCAATTGGCTATCCAGATCGGCGCATTTCCGGAGCCTCAACAAAAGCTGCGGCGGCCTTATGAGGGCCAGCCAACCTCTGCCGCAGATGGACAACGCCGGAGAAGGCTTAGGCATTGCAGCCAAGCATTGCATTAGAGAGTCAGGAGAAAGATCCATTGTGAATCTCTGTGCCTATTCAAACGGTTGTATTCTTGGGGATAGCGAACACAGATATATCGATGTCTTCTTCCACCTATGCAGCAAGACAACAAACAAACGAACGCCGGTTACAAAATGTTGAACCATGACGCACCCA